GTCTTCCTTCTTCAGCCATTCTGTAGGCAGGTCTTCCCACAGGGAGTGGTAATGAGGGAGCCTAGAAAACAGCAGTCTCTTTTCCTAAAATCTGCTCCTCAGTAGGAATCTCTTCCTCCATAGCATGGTAGATTGCAAGTAGGCATTGATAATCAGGCCGCCTACTTCTCACCACTTTTTATATTTCGGGAGACATATGGTGGCTGACGCATTTCCTGATGTATACTCAAAAATCACATCAGTTTGGATGCAGGACCTCTGATTATGGACATGGAGCTACAGACAATTCATTTCCCTGCTGTTCTGCAGCATTTTCAATGAACTTTGGTGGTTCTTGTTCTCACCTGATATGTAAGGAAAAAAAGGCAGGGAGGAAGCCAATGGTTTGCTCCTTGCCTTCTGGGCAGAACAAATGGTGAACGGAGGTGGCCTTAGTTTCAGATGAATGTTTGCTCCCTGAAGCTACCCTCTGACCTGGCACAGCTTTTATAATACTGATCAGGTCATGATTTTAAATTCTCTTGTTCTGGGGATGGTTGAGACTTTCCCATGTTTAAGGATATATCATACTGCATTCTTCTCTTTATATTTCTTGGAAAATAAAAGGTTTCTGTAAGCCAACAAGAATTTCCCTTGTAAGGTTTCTGGAACAAAATGTCTTTTTTTTTAGATTATTAATATGGAAGTGATTGGACAGCTGTCATAGGAATCCTCATTTGAATAGATGTCAGCAAGAAGGAAAGAATATTGCTTCATGCAGGTAATTTAAAAAACATCTTAGAATCTGTTCATTGGTTCAAAACTGCCAGAAGAGTTAGTGGAAAAGGAGCAAGAGACACGGATATATTCAGGATCCCACAGCTAAGCACTTTACATAACAGACCTTACATATGCTGAAAAGTAAGGTGGTGAAGCAACCCACCAGACACATTTCTCCTCCTCTAGTTCTTCTCTGAATTTGCCTGCTTGGCCAAATTCACACATTTCCCCTGTCTTCACAGGTGCAGTGATACCAGCAGCTATTTTTGCTCTTAGCTCAGGGCAGCATTTCAGCTGCTGGACATCTGCGCCAAACTGCTCCTTTCCTTTGCTGGCTTTGCATCCCAGTGTCCTCTAGAAAAGTGCTGGGAACGTCATCTTCCATCCCTGCCCTCCAGCAACACAAGGGCAGGAGAGGGGGCAACCTCTTCTCCCTGAAGGATTCTTGTCCACCTCTTCTGAGCCATTATGAGCTTGTTTTTATGAGGTGGTAGCTCATCTTCCTGGCTTCTCTGCAGAAAGTGGAGGAGTTGCAGGTGGTTGTTCTCTGCCTGACCAGGGTGGGCCCCAAAGGGGAGCCAGTGAACCACAAAGGCTGCAGTCAGCCAGAAGTTAAGACCAGCTGCCTCAGAGGAAATAAGTGTCTAAGTGATGTGAATGTCATGGTTCAGAGTGGGATGGGAGAAGATGTGAGTCCCCACCAGGAGCTGGTAGGGAGACATGTACATTACCACCCAAACCAAAACTGTGGGTCAGGATTTTCTCCAGACAGCAGCTGCAAGGTGGAACAAATTGCTCTTTCTACTGTCCCCTTTGGGTTTTGTGTCTGTTGCATGGGATGGAGATGCTAGTTTTTTAGAAGGACCTTTTGGAAACTGAAGCTGGCTGCTCTTGAGATGTTTCCTTGTGAAGGTGCTGAAATGAAGGTGAAAGGGTGTTTCACATGCAACTGAGTGCTCTGGGCCCAACAAAAGGTGAGCCAAGCCATTCCCACATTTTTAGGTGTTTGATGGCAGAAGAGTTTGGAATTACCAAACTGAGGTGCAGGAACTGTTGTTCCTGGCCATCCTGAACCTAAACCTGGTGAGTACTTCCAGTGTCAATGATAAGTGCAAGTGGCAGTAGAGTTTTGTTATAACTGAAATCTGCTGCTCTCTCCACTAGGGCTGAAACCAAACATCTGCATGCAACTTGGAAAAAGTGGAAAAGGAACAAAAGACACGGATGTATTCAGGATCCCACAATCAGGATCCTGTTGTCTGGATGTAGAGAGCTGCTGAACCAGTAGCTTTGAGAGCCTTTTACAGTCCCTGCTTCACCAAGGAGTGGTACTGTCAGGGTACCACCAGCCCTGCCATCCCTGCCCAGCATTTCCTGGGGCTCCCCCAACCCTGTTCTGGTCCCAGGAGGCCATTCCTGCCCCCTTGGAGCCATCAGCCCCTATCCCAGCAACACAGAAATAGGGCCAATCTCAAGTTCCCCACAGTCCTGCCTGGCCATGGTCCCACTGCTCCAGGGAGTATCCAATGCTCAGAGCCCCTCTCTGGGCCTGATCCTGATCCCACCTGCAGCTGACTTCTTGGCCTTGCCTCTGTGTGTGTATGGCAGGGAGCTGAGGTTCGTGGCAAATTAGAAGTTAAATAAGCAGACAAATTCATTACATTTTGAATAGGTTTTGGGGTTTGGTTTGTTTTTGGTTTTTTTTTTATGAAATTAGATTAATCATCTCTGAACCTTTTTTTTTTTGCAGACAGGAAATGTTGAGAATTAACACCTACAGCTGGGCCTCAGCAGGAGAAGGGTAGAAAATGTGAATCAGACTAAAATTGGAGGATCCAAGCAACTGTATTTTTAAGAATTGTGAATGACTCTCAATTCTCCTATCTCCAAAACAGAGATGGGCATTACATGTTTGGGAAAGTAATGGCAAGGTGAAATGAAATGCAGTTGGGTTGTTTCATGTGGAAAAATCATAAGGAAGGGGAGGAATAGGAGAAAGAATTCAAGAAGAATTATCCTCAGTATGAGTACAAAAAGCTGAACACTGCACCTTTGTAAGGTCCTCTTCCTAGGACTTTTAATGTAATCTATGGTGGCCACTTGGCTTTGTGCTCTAGAGTCAAATATCACAAAAGGGAGATAGAATAATTGGAAAGCTACCATGATTTTGCAATTTTTTTAGTTGGCTAGCAGGCACTAAGTTTGGTTTGGATTACTATATATTTTTGCAAGTTAATAGGCATTTGTTAGTGGTTATAATAATCTATACTTTCCATGCTGGCTGGGAAGTGCTCTAAGGGGCTTTCAGATCTGATCTCTTCCAGTGCAAGCTGGCTCCCATTGATAGTACCTGCAAAAAATAAATTGTTCTGTAGTATTTGCTGGCAGATTCTTGCTACTCTTCCAGAGACCTCTGTCCATACTGACAGTGCATGCAGAGACCATCAGCCTGGAATATCACCGAGATCCTGTTGTTCTTGATTTCACCTCTTCTAGGGTGAGGTAGCAAAGCTGGCTGTAATTGTGATGGTAAATGCACAAGAGGGAGAGAGAATCTGTCCCAGGGAGGATCCTTCCTATCTGTTCTTTTTCATGTCTGCATTGCAGGGAAATATGTACTAGTACATGTTTCTTAATTAAGTTTGACCATGACTGGAGTAATGATCTCTGGTGCACAATTTCAGGTTGTTGTGCTGCTAATCACACAAGAAACATCAGGTTTTGGGGGAGGAGGGTGAGCCATGAACCACAGTCTTTGTGTATTTGCTACTCTATGAGGTGATGCTGTATTCCTGTCTCCTTGTGGGGCTTGATTATTCTCTTATACTTCTGCATCCTTCCCCCTATTCCTGCTTGTATATAAAATGATCATGAGATTATATAATCTTTGTACAAATAAGGAAAGGGAATATTAGAAAAAAAACAGAAGAAGAAAACCAAGTAAGTAGGAACGCCTAAAATAATTACAAAATTTAGCCTCAAGTTGTTCAATTTAACATTTGATAGAAAATGGTGGAGACAAAAGTGGAGTGAGACAAGGATTACCAAAATGTGTGGCAGTGTTGCTGTGGCACATACTGAGAAAGAAGTTTTCCTCTGGAGATGGTTGGTGTTGTGGTTGGCACCACTATACAGGATTTAGGTATACAGCTGTGTGCCAGCTGTGTGTGTAAAATAAAACAGTCTTGGGAATATTACGTTACAGGCTGGAGGGAAGTGTGCTATTGTGTTGCATTATTACACTTGTAAAATAAGATTTGCAGAGAATGGGGGAGGTAGAAAGACTTCTGTCCCAGCACAAGTATTGGCACTGGAGATTGCAGAGTTGGTGAGTACAAAAACCTGCTTAGACACTGTAACACCTTTAGTTTTTGAAGGACATCAAGGATTCTACCAGACCTAGATGGATCAGAGCAGACACACAGTCATCCACCTGATGGCAGGAAACTTTAGGGGATATCAACAACTCCACTATTCAATTCTTTATGCCCCCTACTACTACATGGAGTAAATGTCATACAGTCAAGTTCTCTTGTCTTTGGAAAATTTCTAGTGAACTTTACTCTTTAAGCCATCCCACTTCCTTCTGGATTTGAGACTCCAGATCCAGATTTGCTGAATTTGCCTTCTTATTGGCACTCTCTGCTGCATCATAACATCATAATTCCTCACCTAGGGGAATTATGATGTCCTAGGGGACCTCAATGGCAAGGAGGAGTTAGAAAGAAAACATAAATGCAAGAAAAATGTGTTTATTTTCCTAAAGTCTTTTTTACCATAACTGTGCAAGAAAATATCAAAGTGTCTGTATGGTGGATTTTTGAATCAGACTTTGTGAATTAATTGAAGATTAAGAGTCTTCCAAAATCTTCAAGAGGTTTGTTTTACTGTTCTTTAGTGGAATGAAATAGAGGAGTGAGGTGTCTTTTTTCACTCACAGATTGAAAAAGGGAGTTTAATCATATCTTGTCAGCATCATACCTAAACTGTTCAAGTGTGCTTTGTTTACATGAGGTATAAATGCAGCAATCTGGCCCTGCTAAAATATTGATGGCCATTAAATTTCAAAGTAAATAAATTAGGAACTCCTGACAGACACAAAACTATACCCAAAGTTGTAGCTGGTAAGAATGTACGCGTGCTTAGGGGTAGTCACCACAATGTGCATAAAGAGCTTTGCCTCACTTTGTGCTGCAGCCAAAGCTTTTATGTACAGAAACTGCTGTGACATGATCTGAAGCATGGAAAAAGAACAGTGAGCGAAAATTGTGTTTTTTTCTTTCCAGCTTCAGATCAAAATACATATAGAATGGTGCTCTGACATCTCTTGCAGACTCAAGATCTGTCCATTTCTTTTTCCATGTTAATGAATCACATGAACAAATTTTACAGATTTAGCACTGTGTGCTTCATTTAGAGTGTGGTCTCTTTCTGTGCACCAGAGACTTACGTGAAGATCTGTGGTCCATCTTTTTAATCTTTGGTGTTCAGGTCCCAAATTATTCCACTGATATTGCAGAGCCTTTTGCTACGTTAACAATAGGAAAGTGTCTCAAATAGGGGAATATAAAGTATGTGCTGTCTCATACTTCATGCATAGAAATGTGAAACATCTGGAAACTTTATGTTTGGAAGTAAAGGAAAAAAATATACCCGAGTGTTTCACAGTAGCCAGAGGTATAAACCTCAGTAGGAGAAGCGGCAGGACAGCTTTGTGCTACCTCACACCCTTTGAAACCGTTTTATTTTAAAGAATGATACTATTTGCTGTCTTATGTAATGTAAAAAGGACCTTCTGAAGTTAATACTGAGTTTTCTGACTCACCTTAACTTTAAAGTAGAATTTCTAATTTAGGAAGAAAAACAAAACTTGCATGTTCTCGAGGTCCATTTGCTGGCAGGACTCGGGATTCTTCGTCCCCATGTTACTCAAATCCAACTCTTTTCCTGACAAGACATCAACAGGGGGGAAACAGCCGCTCCCACGGCCTCACAGATGTAGAAAAAGGATGATTTCGTGACAGATAAAGTAGGAAAAAGCCATTTTATTTCACCCGAAGACACACAAGACGGAGAGCGGGGCGCCGGGCGGGGCAGACAGCGCCGGCCGCGCTGCGATCATCGGGGCTCCCCGTTACCCCGCGGGGCCCGAGAGCGCCCGGGCCCGCCGCCAAGAAGCCGAAGAAGGCGGCGAGCGGCTCCAAAGCCCGCAAGCCCGCGGGGCCCAGCGTCACCGAGCTGATCACCAAGGCCGTGTCCGCCTCCAAGGAGCGCAAGGGGCTCTCGCTCGCCGCGCTCAAGAAGGCGCTGGCCGCCGGCGGCTACGACGTGGAGAAGAACAACAGCCGCATCAAATTGGGCATTAAGAGTCTCGTCAGCAAGGGCACCCTGGTGCAGAGCAGAGGTCTGGCTCTCTCCGCCTCAGCAAAAAAAAAAAAAAAAAAAAAAAAAAACCGGAAAACAAAAAAAAAAGGCCCCAAAAAAAAAAAAAAAAAAAAAAAAAAAAAAAAAAAAGCCCGGAGAAGCAAAAGAAAAGGCTCCTAAGAAAAACAAAACAAAACAAAACAAAAAACAAAAACCCACAGTAATCAAGCCGAAGAAGCCGGCGGCTAAGAAGCCCGCCAGCGCCGCCAAGAAGGCGGTGGCAGCAAAGAACAGCCTCAAGAAAGTTATGTCCGCAGCCAAGAAGGCAGCCAAGAGTCCCAAGGTGACAAAGGCTGTCAGGCCCAAGAAAGCGCGGCAGCAGCGAAGAGCCCGGCTAAGGCGAAGGCGGTGAAGCCCAAAGCAGCCAAGCCGAAAGCGGCCAAGGCAAAGAAGGCAGCTCCCAAGAAGTAAGCCCCAAGGGGAAATAATCCTGCTTCGCATTTAAATCCAACGGCTCTTTTAAGAGCCACCGACATTTTCGGAAATGGGCTGAAATGCTGTGCCTGCCGCCGTTTTGGCGGGGGGGGTGTGGGGGAACCGCAGGCTGCTGGAAAATGTGCTGTTTGAGTCCGGGAACAGCTCGAGGCGCTCTTGAATTGGTTGGGGAGGGTAACAGCGCCTTGGTAGCTCAAAATGCCCACGAGGCGCGGGGATTGGTTGCGGAAGGGCCGAGCTGCTTCCTGGAACCGCTGCCAGCCCCGCCCCAGAGCGAAGCAATACAGCGCGGGGCTGGTGCTGTGTGCACGGAGCTGCGTCCGGCACTGACAGCGAAAATGTCCAAGATGAGCATTTCAGAACCTGCCGCGGGCTTTCGCCACCGTAATGAAATTCAAGCTCTTTCTCTGAAATTGTAGGTGGCTCTTAAAAGAGCCTTTGGGTTTCTCGTGGTGTCACTAGGCAGCCTTTGTTCTTCAGCGCTCACTTGGCTTTGGCCTTGTGGCTGTCGGTCTTCTTGGGCAGCAGCACGGCCTGGATGTTGGGCAGCACGCCGCCCTGCGCGATGGTCACCTTGCCCAGCAGCTTGTTGAGCTCCTCGTCGTTGCGGATGGCGAGCTGCAGGTGGCGGGGGATGATGCGCGTCTTCTTGTTGTCGCGGGCCGCGTTGCCCGCCAGCTCCAGGATCTCGGCCGTCAGGTACTCCAGCACGGCCGCCAGGTACACCGGCGCGCCGGCGCCCACGCGCTCCGCGTAGTTGCCCTTGCGCAGCAGCCGGTGCACGCGGCCCACGGGGAACTGCAGCCCGGCCCGCGACGAGCGCGACTTGGCCTTGGCGCGCGCCTTGCCGCCCTGCTTCCCGCGACCCGACATGGCTCCTGCTGCTGGTGCTATGAAAGAAACGAAGTCAAAAGCCGAATGCGATAAACTTAACTTATGAGCTCAGCCTTATATACCTCTTCAGCAGTAGGCGCGACTTTCGATTGGTTAAGACAGGGATGTGCTTAAAACAGCCAATAGGAACGCGGATCCAGATTTGACCAATGGCGATGAAGGGTGTAACGCTATCTCTGTAAAACTTGCCACAGCCAATAAAAACTTAGCTTTCAGGATCCCTAATTTGCATAACCGCCCTATAAATGCGGGCGCCCAGAAGGGCCGCTCATTCTCCGTCCGAGAGATCGTTGGTGTTGCTGAGGTCAGAGCATTCGCTGCAGCCATGCCCGAGCCGGCCAAGTCCGCCCCCGCGAGGGGAGAATGTGCATTTACGCTGTAAAAGTATCATAAATTAAAAGGAAAGCGGGATTGGCTATGCTTGCGGTAACCTTAGGCTATATCCTGCGTCTGATCCAATGCATCTGAGAACGTTCATAATTTCCTTTAAAAGCCGTAGGAGTCCGTTTTGATGTATGTACGCTGTAGTGGAGGCGGGCTAGACAAATAAATGCTGCCTGTGGTCTCAATTAAAACAGCGGAAGCACGTTCCTGTTGGCTGGTACATGGTATTTCTCTGCTGACCTACGTTAATGGAAGATGTTGTGAACCGGCAGCATTGAAAGCACAGGCTCCTTCAGACTACCCGGTGCTCTTGTTTCTTGTTATTTTTATTTAGAAAAACTTCAAGATGGATGCCCACTCCCCTGCCCTGCAATCTCCATTGCCGAGAGTGACTAGGGGAAGCAAAGCAGAAAGATTTCTCGCTCCCAAAGTGCGCTGTCCCGGCGCAGGTAGCGCCAAACACAGGCTCCCCTGTGTGGCTCCTTCTCGGCTTTCGTCCGCCCCTGTCTCCCCACCGCCGTTTCCCCGCTCCCCGTTCGGGCGGGCGGGCAGAGCCAGGGCCGCGCCGCTGCCGCGCTCGGTCCGACCTGAGTGAGGACTGCGCGCAGCCTCCCCGCGGGAGGGCCCGGCCGCCTCCCGCCCTGCCGCTGATTGGTTCCCCTCTCGCCTCGCCGCCCGAGCGCGCGCTTCCCCGGGCCGCGCTCGTCGCAAGGGACGCGGCGCTTCCAGCGGCCCGGGCAGCAGCCGCGACAGCTCGGCGGGGCCAGGCAAGGCGGCTGCCGCCCGCGCCTTCGCCCTTTCTGCCGCGGCCCTCAACCGAACGCGGCTACGGAGCGGCAAGAAACCGCGAGCACTCGGCGAAGGAGGCGGCTGCCGGCGGCAGCTTTAGCCAGCGGTCCCGAGGCCGGGGACGAACGCGAGCGGAGCGGCCTTGGAAAACGCAGGGCGAGCCCCAGGCTCGGGCGGCGAGACGGTACCGCGCCGCTCTGAGGCGGTGCCGCCGCCGCTGCGGCTCGCAAGCCGCGGTGGGAAGGGGGCGGGGGCGGGGCGAGGCCGGGGCGCGATTGCCGCCCCGGAGGCGGGGCCTTTTCCCGGGCTCGCCACAAGCGTCCAATGGCAGCCGGCCGCTGTGGCGCGGGCGCGGGGGCCGGGCTATAAATAGCGGCGCGGCGGAGCCGGTGGCGCAGTGTGTGCTGTGGTGAGCGCGAGCGGCTGTGCGCGGGTGCTGGGGCTGCGATGGCGCGCACGAAGCAGACGGCGCGGAAGTCGACGGGCGGCAAGGCGCCCCGCAAGCAGCTGGCCACCAAGGCTGCCCGCAAGAGCGCGCCGGCCACGGGCGGCGTCAAGAAGCCGCACCGCTACCGGCCCGGCACGGTGGCGCTGCGCGAGATCCGGCGCTACCAGAAGTCCACGGAGCTGCTGATCCGCAAGCTGCCCTTCCAGCGCCTGGTGCGCGAGATCGCGCAGGACTTCAAGACCGACCTGCGCTTCCAGAGCTCGGCCGTCATGGCGCTGCAGGAGGCCAGCGAGGCCTACCTGGTGGGGCTCTTCGAGGACACCAACCTGTGCGCCATCCACGCCAAGCGCGTCACCATCATGCCCAAGGACATCCAGCTGGCCCGCCGCATCCGCGGGGAGCGCGCCTGAGTCCCCTGCCCTAGCCCGCACAGACCCAAAGGCTCTTTTAAGAGCCACCACATGCACATCAAAAAGAGCTGTTGCGCTGCCTGAACTTTTCCTTGAAATTCGCCTTATATGCTTTGCAAGAGTAAAGTGACAAGTACTTGACAGGGGGAGTGCAAAAAGCAGAAGTTGCAGGAGGGTGATTGGAGAGCCTCAGGCAGGGGGGAGGGGTTTACATCCCTGTGGCGGATGGATGTGACACAGCTTTCAGCAGAAAAGGGGCTGGAGGGGCCTGGCAGGGACACTCCTGTGTCTGCAGTCGAGCCGTGCTCAGGAAATCTGTGCCTTAAACCCTGCCCGGCTGGTTCAAGGCACGGGCAGAAACTCCCTGTGTCACTGTGCTGTGTTGCTGTCCCTTGTCACCGTCACACCGAACAAACAGATCGCCGTGAGGGGGCTGCCACCTTGCTCCAACAATTCTTAACACCCGGAACAAGAGTAACCATCGCAATAAATCCGTTTTGATGGTCTCAGGTTTGATATATATTGTTATTCCTGCTGTTGAAGCAATGGGCCACCATGCTGATGGCACCGGGTGCCTGAGGCTTCTTGCAGCACAGGAAAGTATCTTAAAAGGCCAAGACACTTCTTGAAATTTACTGTGGATTAAGGAATAATTCACCAAAATTTTTCAGGTTTGTTACTATAATACAAAACTGGGTGGGTGGGGAACGTTGTGGGTTTTAGTTTGTTTTGGGGTTTTTTGTTACTTTTTTTTTATGCAGAGGGGGTATTCTCAACAAGTTTTTTAAAAATCATGAATTTAAAATGTATGTGTTCTTGCCCTAATGAGAGTAAAAGTATTTGTCTTTTACCTTGCATTTCTTCAGTGGTGATCACCATACATGATGTATGCTGAGCTGTCATTCCTGCATCCAGTTCTTCAGCGTTCTCTGTGAGTTTCTGGAAGGACAGACACATACACCCGCAGTTTTCAGACTTCTAAGGACCCACCTTTGTTCAAATTCTTACAATGAGGCAAGGTCAGTCTAACAAGGGTCTGAGGATCAAAAGGAGGAGTTAAAAAATAAACCTCAGATTCGTTAGTGGCTGATGTTTCTCCAGCTGGCTCGCCGCATCCCCGGAGAGCGCGCCTGAGTTCTGTGCCGCAGCCCTTCCCGGCCAGGCACCGAGGCCACCCACACAGACCCAAAGGCTCTTTAGGAGCCACTACAAGCACAATAAAAGAGCTCTTGCCCTGTTGCAAAATGTGTATGGTTCACTGCTCGGGGGGAGAAGAGATTGCAGAGGTGCAGTTATGTATATGGGTAATGTGCCTCAGTGAGGCCCATCTCTATCGACAGAGCTGTAATCTAGTCCCAATGGCTGTTTTGGAAGCACTACATGCACCCTAATTTAAACTCTGGAGCTGCCTGGAAACGTATTTCCCTTACCTGATCAGAGGGAATAGCAGGTTTATGTATTAGTGCGAAATAGTGACTATCCTAGTGTGAAATAGTGACATCCCTGTGACTGGTGTTTTAGGGGTTTGTTCTGGGGCCTCCCTCGAGTACCGCTGTAGTTGTGTTACACTGATGACACACCTATAAAGTGCTTCAGCAACTCTCACTGCTGATACAGCTCGTAGCCCCGCGCGCGGCTCGGCGGTGGAGTGCACGGGGAGCGGGGAAACGGCGGTGGGGAGACAGGGGCGAACGAAAGCCGAGAAGGAGCCACACAGGGGAGCCTGTGCTAGGCGGTAGTGCCCATGCAGGACAGCGCACTTTGGGGGCCAAAACGCGGAGCATCGTCCCACTTTTCCTCCACCGGTTTGCCGCAAAAATATATTTTGGGGATAGTGAAGAAGAGCGGGCATCCATCCCGGATCCTTTTGCTCAGGAACAAAGAAGTAGAAAACAAGAGCACAGGGCCGTATGAAACAGTTTGTGCTTTTCGTGGGTCCAATTCAGGCATTAAAAGAACAGGCGTGGTTTGGTTTTTTGTTTTTGTTCCCCTCAGCGTGTATTAACCAGAACACCGGGTAGCAGCGGTCATAGGATTCGTTTTGGCCGCTTTGAGACCGATGTTATATTTCTTAGCTGCCTCCCCTGCACTGAACAGGTAAGATGAGCGGGCTCCTAAGGAGGAAAGGATAGAGCCTCAGTTTACCACAGACACTGCTACTCCTTTTTTTTTTAAATTATACGTTTACAGCATAAATGCCTATTTCCCTCCCTCCACAGGTCAAACAGTTGGGGCAGGAACTCGCCAGAGGATCAGCTCTTTTACTTAGAAAAGCTGCTGCTCTTCCAGCCGGTCACACTGCTGCTTGAAATTTAATTCTCTGCTGCTGCCCTGCCGGCTTCCGATTTCCTTCTGGCTTTAGTGGGGCTCCTCCTGGCTCATTTTCCCTTAGCATCTCCTGCAGGCTGGTGGCTGCAGAAGCCAGCAGCTCCTTGGCCTCACCAGGCTCTGTCCTGCAGTGGTGGCACTGCAGCAACGGGAGCCGTTTTCACCTGACCGTGCCTTTCCCCATCTCTGCCCCGCAGTATAGGAAAAAAGAGATGTGACTTAACATCTGTGACCTGGTGTGCGCTGAATTTCACTTTCCTGAAAGTCAGTCGGTGCTGAATTCACCTTCCACAGGGGAAGGAATCTGCGCTTCCCTCGGTGTCACCTTGTTCCACGTAATGGGACTGTCCTGCACATTGAATTGTAGCGAACACTGGGAAAGACTTCTAAGAAAAACCGTGTGTGCAACATCTCGATGATGTGTGAATCCTAGAATAAAATTCTAGTTTGTAGGCTGTAGAAACTTCCAACAGAGAAATTTTATGGGTTTCTTCGCCTTACAAAAGAATGGTCTGATATTAAGGGTACAATGTAATAGTCAAAAAGATATATAATTAATAACTATCATTGTAGAATTTCCTCTCTTTTTTTTCTGCTATAGAATGTGCTCGGTTATTATGTAGTTGTGGTTTCGAGTTACATACTTGGGAAATAAAGCCA